TTTTTAAAATATTAAAATTTAATTTTTAAATAATTATAATATATAAAAATTAAATTAAATTAAAAATTAAAAGAATTTTTATAAATTTTCTTGTTAAAGAAAATATTTTTAAAATATTTTCATACAAAATAATTAATCGTATTTATATGAGTGGATACACATAATATGACAAATAGTGAATCATTTGTGTCTCGCAGGTTGGCTAATTAAGTTGATATTGTTGTAATTAATTGCAGGGTTCAGGTCATATAGCTACCCAGTATAACCCAGAGGAATGTTTCACCATGTTCACTAGGTGGATAGCTAATGTACCTTTATAGCTATGTGAATACCATAAATTGGGTTATCAATGTTATGCTCATTTGCTTATAGTTTCTTTGAATTGTACCAACGTTTAAAGATTTGTATACTAAATAAGCAATTTAGTGACAAAATGTTGTTTGTACTATATCTTTAAAATGTTTACTTTTATCATTTCTCTTAATATGATATCTTCAGATGTTCTTCTAGACAATGGTCTCATGAGGTACAATTCCTACTTTTTCAGAAGAAGAATATTTGTGAGTTAAGATTGTACTATATTTGGAGGCAAAGCTTTAATTATATTTTAAAGGCTTAAATATGTTTTTAGTCACTCAAATTTACGGTAAATCGGTTTTTAGTCCCTGTAATTTTAAAAAAAAATTATTTTAGTTCTTATATTCAAATTTTATTAAGAAATTTATTAAACATTATTACATAAAATCTACCTATTGGTGTCCCTATTAGTGAAAATATCACATTAAATCAGGTTAATATTACATAACTGTCTTAATTAGTCACTTTCAAATATGTCATTGATGACCTAAAGGACTAAAACAAGATTTTTGAAAATTACAGAGACTAAAAATAACATTTTTAAATTTGAGAGACCAAAAATAAATTTATCTTAAATTTAAGGGACTAAAAACATATTTAAATCTATTATAAAATTAATGTCAGGAAAATCTCTAGATAACTTGTTTTAAATATCTTAGTAATGTGACATTACAATTTTTTTCATTGATGCATAAAGTTAACTAAATGTCTCTGTGACTGACTTAAATAATATTAAATTATATTTCACCAACAAAAAATCACATTTCATAAATGTAAATTAGTTTTTAATTATTAACTATAAAATATTGCATAATCATATTATTATGAGAAAAAAAATTCTATTGACATGAGAGGTATTTATACTATACAATTTAACAAAGTACTCCAAACAATTTAAGTCACACAACGAATTTAGAAAAATAAAACAAGGCTAAAGTTAGATGTTGACTTTTTTTTAATACTCATTCAATATGATTTCTTATACTTCTTACATCATTTAATTAAGAACAAAAAGCTTTTCAAATTTGTTGAAATTCGCATTTTTTGTTAATAAATGTGACACCTTCTACTCCAACACATAAATAAACAACAAATATGAAAGATATTTGCTGAGTAAATAGAATTTTCTTAATAATCAAAACCATGTTTCAAATGACATAGGAGTAAAGGATTCAGATCCATCTAACATAGTAACTCAAGTGCAAAAATTAAAAAAAAAATAGAATCAAAGTTTTCCAACATGAATGAAAACAATAAAGTCCTAAATTAGTCCTAATTAAGTTCCGATGTCACATATCTTATCAGAGTATGTCCAATTGAATCCTAAGCCTCATCACCAACATCCTTATGTTGATGATCATCTATAGCACGGGAAAACATATATCGGACAATCAGGGGAGTGAGAAACATCTCACTCGGGTTGAGGTGTAGAAATAAATATTAGATAGCACACACACAACAATCATAACACAAGGTACAAGTAAAATCCATACATAGCCAATATCACACACACAATCACTCATCATACAATGATGTCATGGACTTGACTCTTAATGCATGCATGTGGCACCAGTCACGTGTCTCTTAATCACATATCACGTTGTATGTTGTTGAAACAACAGACCTAGAGAAGTTTAGGAGTACATGTCGGCTCAACCTCGCATTCTCAACTACAAGGATGTATTGTTAGGGTCTCATTGGGATAGCGAAGCTGTGCAAGATACATCCTATGCACTCAAACGGGCAGAACTAGGTCTTCCAAACCATGTTATCCCCTAGGACTCCTTCGAGATGTTTCACCCGAAGGGCCTTCCCTAACGGTGTACTCCATATCATATCCCGTCACATAAATGTATATGATGCATGTCACACATTCCCATGTTCATGAACTCAACATTTCACTTTTCATATCTCATCATGTCACTTGTTCTCATATCACATTATCATACTCATAGTCACAAGGTCACATATAAGAGATTCTTATCCTTATTGCTCATAGAACTACATCACTTGCATTAAGACAATAATAAGGCAGTTCTCACACTATTAGCACCTTCAAACATAGCTTAAAACATGCAAAAAATCACGGGGATCGCACCCAACATACTAAACACCGCACCAAAAGCAGAGCAGGACACCTAGCGTGCCTTGAGTGTGCCCGATGAATTAAACGTTGCACCTAAAGCAGAGAAGCTCGCTCGGCGTAGCTCTCCACGTGCACAATGTAGGCCGATCAAGGGGACTCGCGCCTAACAGGACTCAACACATGCCCGACGCGAGTCCTTGGGAACTTCGTTCCTATACTCATGAGTCGGCGCCCGGCGCCAGGAACTACACCGGTGCCCTAGTGCGACCTGTATTTCAAACTTCGCATAAATCTTACATTTTTCACTTCAAACATGTTTTCAAACAAGTCAATTCGGTACAAATCCTCCAAAAAACAACAAGAACATGAATCCTTACTCAACTTTGCATACTTTACCTTAATTTTTGTCAATAGATCATATTCCTAATTGATTCTCATAGGGTTTCCCACAGGAATCCACATAGCACTCTAATTCATATCAAAACTTATCGATTTTTGAAACTGAACACATATTCACACTCAGCAAACATCAAGGAATACAAAAAAAAAACTCAAACATGAAAACAAAAAACATTCAAAAAGTGCTTATTCCTAAGAGTATGCATCAGGCAAGGGATTGATGGTTAATCCTACTACCCAACAGATATTCTCACACCCCTTACCTTGATGAGCAAAACATGAAGCATGAGCAGAATCCAACTGTTCCTCTTCTATGAGTTATCCTTATTCTTTAGAAGGCATAAGAAGGAAATGAGCAAAAAAGTGAATATGTGAAAATGACTCAATAACTTTTGATAACTTTCCTTTCTTAAAATTAAAAAAATAATTAACAAATGACCACCACGTTTTTTCTTCCCTTCTCATAAATAATAATAATAATAATAATAATATTAAACATGTCTTCTCCCTTTTATAAGATAACTTTAAACATAATTATTAATAATAACATACATTTCATAAGAATAACTTCTACTCCAATAATTAAACAAATTATAATTATAAACACTACCAAAAAATGAGTAAATAATGGCATTTTTTTTATTGTTTATAATGGCGGTTTAAACCTCCATTATTCACATAAATGGCAGTTGCCCAAGCTACCATAATTCTTTCCGCCACAATGTATAAAATGGCAGGTATCAGTCAACCGCCAAATTAGTCGCCATTTTATACATATTAAAAAATGGCGGTGTATCTTGATAAAATATGCAAGTTAAAAGTGCAATAATTTTTATTTAAAATAATGTTATTATGTAAATAATGGCATTTATAACTGCCATTATTTTTGTAAATAATGGCATCTTTAAACGTCACAATTTTCTAAAATAGTTGATTTTTATATTTAATATGTGGTAGTTTTAACTGCTACAATTGTATGAACTAACAGTTTTTTCTCTCTATATATATTGCAATGTAAGCTAAAATCAACTAGAATCATATTTAAATATAGCCTTCAAAGTCATCATTTTTAAATTATTATATATTTTGATTCATAGTTTCTCAATTAAAGTATTTAAACAAATTCAATTAATAATTAATTTTTTTTTGTAAAATTAAATGTTACTTTAATTTTTAATTAAAATATATTTTCTACTTTAAAATTTAAAATGGCAAGAAATCAAAATAGTAGAATTACTTCAAACATAGTATCCTCTTTCAAAATCTAAGTAGTTTAAGTACTTCAAAGACTTCAAACAACAAGAAATCAAAATATAGTAACTCCAAAATCCATAAGTGAAGCTATTCATATGCCTAACTAGGGGGTATTTTGACCACTCTCTAAATCTACATTACTTCCTCCTGATGATCTTCTCATGTTACTAGGTGATGCAGTTCCAGCTCCATTTCCAACATCTGCTGCCTAGAATAAATAAGAAACATTTATTAAATTAATAACAAAGGCCTTGTAAATTACTTAACTTATTAACCATCATTTTCAACCAGTAAAACACAATAAAAGAATATAATATACTAGAAGCAACTACTTATATGATGATATACGTGATGCACAGAAGCGTGAAATAAGGCAACCATGTCTTCAGGAATGTTGCCTCCTTCCTTCAATGCAATGTATGAAAGAAGTGTTTGCACTTGAGATTTAACAGTAGCAAGTTCAGTTGCCATATTCACAAACTTTTCTTCCATGTTTGATGTGCTTGCACTAGATGAACCAACATTGATACCACTTAGTCTTGTGGTGGAATTCTTAAAAGCAATTGTAGGACAAGCGCCCAATCCTAATCCTCGAACACGTCCAGGATGTTCTTTACCAAATATAACACCAATTGCATCATTTGGAGAAATTTCAGATATATTTTCTGGATTTTGACTTAGAATTTCATCAATTTTCTCCTACATGAAAGTGAGATATTTATAAAATATAACACAAGTTTTGAACCAGTAATATGTATAAAATACAATGCACAAATTGTGTAAACTAAATGGAGAAAAATGCATACAAATGTAAATTAGTTTCCATAGTAAGAATGATAACCAATCAATAACCCATAAATAGCTCTATAGAAATTTAGAAGTTGAATTCGCAAACAATCTATAAGATAATAAATAGATCAATTCACAAACAATTCAAAATTTGGAAGCCAAATTTACAAACTCCACCAAACTGAATTCTCAAACAAACTAATAAATAACTCTCTAGAAATTAGGTTTTACCACTTTGTAGAAAATTTTGCACAAAATAGAATTTCCATGCAAACTATTAAATAACTCTCTAGAAAGTAAGACCGACCACTTCGTAAAAACTCTTGCATAAAATAGAATTCCCAAGCAAACTAATAAATAGCTCTCTAAAAATTATGATTTATCTCTTTATCATTAACAAACTTGCAAATTTATTTTATATGCACATATATAGTTGTTCTACAATACTCTCATACAAGTGTTTGCTTTTGTTGATTGCTCATGACATGACATAGTGCTTATGTTAAAAGTAGATCTGAGTGCCTGTTACAATAATATCTGGAAACCGTTTGAACTTTGAAGCATGTTTTCTATATATGTATCATGCAGGTTCCAATCTCAATTGGGGAAACTGCATATGAGACA